GAAACCCTAAAAAGTATCAGTGGCACATGTTGCATTTGTATGGAAGCACCATAAAAATCCCGCGGAAATTACGCCTGAAATGCTTAATTTCATTTGCCTTACTTCCTAAAATTCGGTTTACACGATAATTTCCTGGTTATCTAGTATCCGATGGATCGAAGTCCACTTTCGCGCATTTTTTGAGACCACCTGTATGTTATTGCTTAGGGAAATGAAGGCAACCAAGCAGAGGAATGGTGTTTACATGACTCGTGAACATATGAACATTCTAGGCAGTACAAAATTGAAGATGACATTCACAGCGTACCTGTATCACTTTCAACGGGCGACAATAATGCTTCGTGATTACATTAGGATAATACAGTTTCACTTAGGTTGGTAGCCTCGTGGAACAAATTGCTCTCATGATTTGAAGCTACATAAACCATACCAAGTTCAAATACGATGAATCGAAAAAGGGGTGTTTAGGAAAACAAGTATATTCGTGACTACTTTTGCCTATATCAACTTTAATTTGATTTAAATTTATTAAACTTAATTTAAGCGCATAAATTTTCCATAAGGTCTATGCGGGACTAGAGAATTCGGCAACATACGCAAATGAGCATAGCCATAGATGTCTACGATGAAAATATAAAACTGAACATCCTGTAGAAAGCAATGTATGAGTTGCTTACCAACTTTGACGTCGTTTTTGGCTTTTGCGAGGTCGCGTTCGGCCCGTGTGCGGAACGTTTTGCTGGCAAAATTGTACCGCTTCACGGCGTAAAGAGTATCAAGAAGTCGTTTCGTTTGGACTTTTCTGCACTGAATATGCACCTTCATCCTTGGATCTGCATAAAGGATCGACACATAAGCTCGGAGACTACGTTTCTCTGGGGGGAGCCTACAAAAAAGCCAACAGTTTTAAAGGAAAACTCCAACGAAGTATCCTAACCAACGGCATACTTACTCAATATCTGCGTGAGGTTCCATTAGATCATCTTTGTCAGAACTAGCTGCTAGAAGAATATCACGTGCGTCTGTGGTAATGTCTAATTCTGCAGAACCGTTATCCAGTAATTTCATGTTGTAAATGATGACCAATGTACCGCTTTCACCTTTGATTCTGTCGAATTGGTAAAAGAAATCCTTGATACAGCGGAAAGGTGAGTATTTGAGAATAATCTGCATTTCAGTGTCATGCTAAAAAGTATCAATGGTGCGTAAAAAGAAGTACTTTGTTTTGATCCTCCGGCGTTATAATGTTAGGAGATTTATCATCAGCCCGAAAAGTAGGCAAGGGGACAATAACTTCATCAAGCTTTTCCGTCTCGTGGAACGTACGGGACAAGAAAACACAGCTACATATGGAATCTCTTTTTGTGAAGAGTATCATATCATTCCCAATGCGCATGGAACCTCTGAAAATAATTATAGAAAAAACGGCTTACGATTTGAGCCCATTGCCATACATGCCAATGGAGGAACCATCGGAAGCCCTCTTAAACGATTTACCAAAAACAATAACGTTTCTTGCTTCGTCTGAGCAAAATTGTATATAACAAGAACTTGTTACCAGGAGTCATGCCGCAACCGTTGTCAACAAAATAGAGCATGAAGCCGCCACGAAGGGCTTGGTCTTTAACTAAATATTGTAAATAGGCCAACAAAACAATACATGCCTGTAAAAATATCCAGTTCAGTGGCACCTGCATCCCGAGAATTGTCGATAAGTTCGGCAATAGCTCCAAATAGGAACTCGTGAGTTGTTCTAGAAACAATATTTTTTTGATTAGGGAAAAAAAATACACTTACGAGTTTGTGTGCAAATAATCAAAACTCAGTTGTGCGCGACTGAGTTGCGTGTATATCTCCATATCAAGCGACACAGCTTAGGCTTGAATATCAGAAGTTAAAGAAAACCGTCAAAGAACAAAAGGGATAAAACGCGAGCACCAATCAGCACAAGCCTCTATGCGGCACCAACACCAATGTCGATCAAGTAGTTAAACAATACAATGATTGAGGAATTTTTAATGCAATCTAGAGATTAAAAAATTAGTTATAGGATTAGCAACGGCTTTCCTAGCGCTGACCTGTGCCAAAGTGCCTGCTTGGATTTAATGCTTTTGGCTGATTTTAGCTATATTGTTGTAATTTCTTATAGGATTGGTCAGATCTAATTTTAAGAACAATAAAGGCTATGCTTTCAATTCATAATTTTTTTAAAAATTCAAAGTAGTGCGTTTTTAATTCAGTGACCAAAAATCTCTTTTTATTAATTACAACTAAACATGATGCTAATTCCCGCGTTCTTTGATCTTAATGTAAAGATACTTTCGACTTGTGAGATTAACATTGCTGTTTATTCACAATCTGTTAATAAACATGTAGTGTTATTGACCACTGTATGTCTTTTTTTCTCTTTCAATTGTGATTGCAATTTGATTCTGTATAAATTACCCTGATTTCTAATTTAATAACGCATTGCGTATTTACTTAGACTATGTAGTATTAAGACTTGTACGACACCGCACTATGGATTGCATATTTAGACTTCTTAGAGCCTTTATCGCCTTACAAAATGATGCGACACAATTTGAGGGCCACAGTGTAAATTTCTGCAACCAGAAATTTGACACTTTTTATGGGTTCCTCTGGAATCCTCGGGAATAAGGGTGTATGGTGAAGTTTCAGTGGCATACTTTGATGAAAAATCGCCATAATCAAGTATAACAGGTTAAATACATAAATGAGATTTATCGCAAACACAGAGTGCATAGTAGTCTAGCAATAGGCGTTTACAAATTGCTCTGAGACGCTATGAAACGGGAATAGGGTTTGTAGTACTAAATCTTTTGTTTCAATATGATATTCACATCCCAAACATTTATTTAGCAATATTACCTATGTAGTCAAGGTTTCAATCAGCTGTCAAACGTTAAATGCCTATGGGTTTTGGTTCCAGTTAATCCTGGAGCAATATTTTTATTCTGAAAAGAACAAATAATTCATTTTGAATATTATCTGCTTCAAATGACACATTCCAATAATTAAAATCGTGGTTTTATCGCAAGGAAATCGCGAATGATAATATGAATAGTTTTTTGCCTATACACTGATTTAAATCTTGAGTGTCATTTCATCCAAAAAATACCGATAGATTAAACCCAGGGTAGTCAAGTGCATTGCGAATTATATACTATTATGCTAAATATACGTTCATAAAATATATGTTAAGCGACGACGTATTCAATTTCTTTGTGAATCAGTTGTTAAAAATCGCGTCGATTCACGCTAATTTGTCCCATCGCTCAATTCACTTACATTATGTCTCCCCTTTCACAGTATGGCGTCAGAGCCAGACGTCAGGTGCCTTCCATCCGAGTCTACCACGTTGGCCACGCCGCTCAATATATACTGCCCCTCATTCGTGTCCTTCTCTGGTTGGCTGCTTATCTTCCTCGCATGCTATTGGAACGTAGAGATACACAGGACTGGCTGAGGCCAGGATGGTCCAATATGTCTGCGCCCTAATACGCCGCAACACTGACCACCCTCAGGAGCGAAGCTGTCCTCAGATGCTGGCTTGGTTCACCGCACCGTTGTTGATATCCAGTGTTGGTAAAATATCCAGTTCGACACTCCCCGCACCCCATATCTGGCTGGTTATTGGCCAATGCGAATAGTTGACGAGGGACCTTGCTCTTGTAGACTTGCAGGAAGGACGCATCATCCATCGTAGGTCCATTCGCAGATGCAGTCCAGCTGGCTTCCTCTGTCCAAATCGTCGTCGCTGAGTTGTCAATGCCTCTTCAGATGCAGTGGTCCTAATCCCGGGCAATGTCTATGGATCCAGTTTATTGGACATCTAATGACCGCCATGACAATTTCAGCTGGCATTCAAGGGTCTTCGCCTCTGTTGACCATAGAAGATAAAGGGTTGGGGTCCGATTCGCGCAATTCCAACGCGTCCGCCGCCACCCATATAGAAAACCCGAGCCCTAATATGAAAAATACCGGTACAACAGAAGAGGCTTTATTAACCAATTGGAAGCCAGGGCCACGTGTCAGGCGCCTTCCATCTGAGCCCGCCACGCTGGCCACGCCGTTCATTATATACTGCACCTCAGTCGTGTTCTTCTCTGGTTGGCGGCTTATCTTCCTCGCATTCCATTAGAACTCAGCGAGACACAGGATTGATTGAGGCCAGGTGGCCCAATATGTCTGCGCCCTGATCCGTCCCCACACTACCTCATTAGTGGGAACCATTATCCTAGATTATTAGTACGCGTAATAACATTCACCTAGATTTTGATTTTAGCAAATTTATTTATTTATTCTGATTCACACATCTGACATGCAAACGCACGTTCGCACACAAGACACCAATTTGCTTGAGTTCTGATGCGAACGGTTGTACCCATGTCCTCTCCGATCTTCGGGTAGCATAATCGGGCCAAATTTAACTTAGTGGCCCGGTGTGTCTTGAAACCATATCTTGAGGACCACGAAAGATTTCTAGCTTATGCTGCCAATTTTTAACTAAGTTCCTATTACTTATCAATTGCTAAATGATCTCATGCAACCTTGCAAATTTTACATTTATTGACCTCAATTACGTGCTTCTATGTGGAAATAATTTTTGATTAATTCCAATCCGGATAAAATTAGTATTTCTCCAAAGATACTGCAGGCTATTATATGTCACAGGGCGCTAAAGTTCTAGCAACTTGAAATTTTTGGCCTGGTTGTGCTCATCCCGTATAGGCAGCAACTTAGGCCACGTGCTTTCATTTAACTGTCTTTCTTTTAAGTCTTCGAAAAATATGATTAAGTATCCATTTGAAAATTAATGCCATAAATTAATCTACGAAAGTTGTTTTCATGTTATGTAATGGTAGCAAAACTCGAACGTGATGTGATCACACACTATAGGCACATTTTACAAGGGAAGTTGAGGACCATTAGCCAGGTTTGATTTATTTTTAACTTCTAACAATGTTATCAAATGGTCTTGTAACCTACTTTAAGTTTAAAATTCCGGAGATATAAAAATCAAGTTTCAAACAGGGATTTCGTTTGCGTGTAAATTCACTTGAACAGAATCCAGAAAATAATATAGGAATATGGTTAGGTCATTAATCCATTTTATAGAATTGAAATTTGTTTTATTGGACACGGTTTACTATGTCGGGGAACGCTTCCAATGACTTCAAAATTTCAAACGCCATAGGTTAATTAGGTTATGGATTTTACTTTATGACCAATTTATGGGCCGTAATTTACGATATCTCATTTTTTGACACGCCGAGTAGGCGCAATTTCGTAAAAGCATCAGCATCCTGATGATTACACACCTCACTCAAAGTACCTCTGTTGTAACATTGGTCATGTTATTCCCCGTAATGATTCTTGTTCAGGATAACAAACGTACAATCGTTTACGTTCTGGGTATTCTTTGATCTTCTATTTGTCCGGCGTGGGTTTAAGCCACTACCGTTATCTACAGCTGTGTTGAGGTTAAGTTAAAGAATAAGGCGAGAATCCAACAAAATAAGCACTATAGTGCCGTTGATAGGCTTTCGTGAGGCAAAGTTAATCATAAGCTCATTATAAATACCTGCACAAGTTTCAAAGAGGTGGGCGAGTTAGAAACACCAAGTGGATGTCGATAAACACGAGGTATCCACAAACTGCTCAAAGGACACCTCAAGTAGCAGAGGCATTATATTAGCGCACAATTTAAAACAAGATAGGACCAATGCAAATGACCAACAAAAAGTGAAATGTGGAATTACAAATCGGACATGTAAAATTCTGCGGAAAACCCACAAATTATTACGTAAACCACCCTTTTCTCGAAATAAAACCAAGAGTATCAAAAAAAATCAACAATGGGATCATCGACCGAGATTTTTTTTATTAAAAGGGTCTCACAACAACGGACGCCAAAATACAAGTCCTTGCATTCATGTTCTATAACAGCTTGAGATTGATGTATGTACAATCAACATAAAGTCCACCTTAATGGAGTGCCTTGGCAAGTTCGTCCAGAGTCTCAGTGTCAATAAGTGAGTCCTTCTGGGCTTTGACCGAATCCAGCCATGATACCAGCTGCTTTCGAGAGCCGTCGGAAATTGACAGTTTAACCAAAGAGGACTGAGCTGGAGCGGGATTAGGAGGCGGATTTATGAGACTAGAAACGCGACCATTTAGTAGAAGTATCAAAGCCTTTATGAGAAATTCAAACGGCAAATTCAAAGTAAGGATAAGGTTGGCAATGCGGTCAGCTAATCCAAAATTCTCAAGAGCCTCTAAAAAGAAGAAAAGTGCGCGTTCACTGCCTACTCGAACAATGTTATCTGCATAGAATTTTAGGGAAGTCCAGCTAAACACGTCAGCCAACAAAACAGTAGGCATTCCACGGTGAAAGAACACGCACATTGGAAAACGTCATACTCATACACCAGTCCAAAATATCACATCGAAACACCCAACTACCCAAAATTATACGAAAAAATCCGATTCAACAAGGTTGATTGATAGTAAAGAACTGTTTAGTATCCTGAGGCTTATTTCACAAATAAGCCTACGAACTAAGCTTTCAGACGTGGCTGCTACCAACATTTCTTGGGATAATGGTTAACCAGGCAATGAAGACATGAAATATTTCGTGTAGTTCCAGTGGTTCACATTCGTTTCTAGTGCTCCATCAACACAACTAGATAATCAAAGTCGTCTAAGGCATTTAGGTGGACGCACAGTGTTCAAATCGATGCATTACATGACATTACAAAATGGCCCACAGTTAGTTCCTAGTTCCGAGTTTGATGAGACTCGCAACGTACTAACGTAGCCCACACATACGTA